GGCAGAAGAGGAACGAGGTGCCTCCTCTAACCTTAGCTCTTTAAAATGTTCCACCTGTTTTTTCCAATCCTATCTAAGCAGAATCCTCCTTTTCCAATGCCTTCAGCATGTCCAGCAGCTCAGAGTTTTCAGTCCTTGTGACACAAGACTTAGTGCAACTGAACTGCACAGAAAGGCATGCCTAGCACACTGCATTAAAATGACATCACTTAGAAACGACCTCAGGATGCAGGATTCTGAAGATGAAGTGTCTGAGGCACGTGGGAAGGAAATGAGTAAATCTGAAGTCTTTTAAAGACACTCTCGGGACATGCTCATTACTGGTGCAGCACAAACAACCTAGCGTCAGGGTATGGGGTGTACAGCGCCTCGGTCAGTGGCACCTGAAGGCTGCACATCGATGGGGCTGGCTGCTCCCTCCTCGGCCTCCGTCAGACATGTAAGCTCTGGTGAGTTACTATGGTGATGGGCAGCATCAAAAAATAAAGAGCACTGTGCTGTGAAAGAAGCAGAGTCCTATGCACACACTAACTTCTGGAATCTGGTTTATTATTGAACATCAGGGACTGACTTTGCCACAGGCTATGTATATATTTGTGCATATAAATTCAGACATTCATCTTGCACACATACCTGCCCTTTCTCTGGCTGCCAGTTTCAGTTAGCACATGCAAGCAAATACCAGGTGACATCGCTGAGCGACCCACACCAGAATACTCGCAACTCTTAATTCTTATGAAAACAGAACACCACTTCTCCTCCCAAAAAAATACCCTTCCAAAAAAAAAGGACGCATTTACCTTTGCACCCATGTTTTCCCCTGAGCTGCTGCTAAGTGACTGCAGCCCCACCAAGAAACAGAGTCTCATTGTTGGTCCGTGACCTGCCATGTGCTAGGACTGCATGCATTGCTAAATAAACCTCCCAATTTTTTGCTCTAAGGCAACACGGGGACACAAACACAAAGAATTATGCTAGGTCTTATTTTTATCATTTTTTTCCTCTCTGTGAAGAAGCATTGCTAAACTAAATCACCATTACTGATGCCAAATGCTTCACAGGAGCTTTCTATGTGCAGAGACTTCAACCCCTGGTCCACAATGAAAGACTTACACAACGTTATTATTGGTTGGTGTGCGTTTCCTTAAGTCACTGGCCTCACTTCAACTTTGAACCTACCGCTAGGTGCAGTGCAATATACGCTGCTCCCACAGACAAGGAGCAACGACCGGCAGCAGCCCCACTGTGGCACACTTCTTCCCAGAGCTCTCGGCAGCCCATGCCGCCAGAGGGCAATGCACACCCAGCACAAACACACACTGGAACGCAAGGCTGTGAGGGGAGCGGCTCTCTTGGGACGGGAGCAAGCAACCGGCGATGGGGGCTAAAGACACCTCTTGCACATGTGATCACCACACGGGCAATCTGTTTTCACAAATTCAGTCACTTCCAGAGATTCATGTGTGCTTGCAAGGAGACCAAAGCACCAGAGGGCTCTACTGTCTTCTCCCAGATGCTTCCTCGGCTGGCCGTGAGGTGGAGCAGTTTTATTCTGGCGAGGGCCCTCCCCGTCAGCCCAGCACCCATCTGCTACCCTCTGGGAGAAGTTAAGTGTAAAGGACCTCGAGGCCACAGAGTAATCGCCCTAATTTAATAATCGCCAATCAGCAAAATTGGGAACTGTTGTGTGAATGGCGACGGCTGGCACCCACAGGGCAAATCAAAGGGGAAAAAATTTGCAGGAGAAAGGCTGGCGGTGTATTTCCTTTCACTGACTGGTGCGTTGCCCTTCCCCTGGTTTGTGTAGGCCACTCACACGTCTATACACACCACACCTGGCGCTGCCTAGAAAAGTATATTTCAACAAGGAGCACCTTAATACACACAGCCAACTACAAGCTGAAATCTAGGGAGCAGCAGGTCACCCATGCCTATGGGTCTGGCTACTTCAGTTTGCCTGGGGAAACGCTGCAGACGCAGCATTTCCATAACAAACAACTTCATAGGGAAACTGCAGCCTGGTCTCCACAGACCGACAAATGGAGCAGATCTGCAGTAAAATAATATTACCACGCAACACAGGGTCTCAAACACATTTTACCTTTTTTTGGGTTTTTTTTGGTTGTTTGGTTGGTTGGTTTTTTTTCTCCTCCTTCCCAAAGATAGCTACTACTGATAATACGCAAATTCCAAACCCCCCCACCCCCAGCTTTAGGTTGTTACTGTCTGTCCTCTAACGAGCTGGGGAAGCTAATCTGCAGCTCAGAGGCAGAAAGAACAGTTCACTTTCCCTTCTGCCCAGAGAGGCACGACTCCCTCTGGCACACTTCAAGCAGCTCTATCCCAGCCACAAGCTGCTCACATAGGATGGCTGAGCTGGCAGAAAGTTTAGCCTGTGTCACTGAGCTATCATCCCAGAGAGGCAAATATCCAAATGGTCTGTGTTACTATATACAGCAAGGTAAAAGCAATTTCTCTCTCTATTGATAAGGACAGTGCAATTTAAGATCTGAAATACGGAGCGTGCTGATGACGCTCGCCTGCCCATTTTACCTTCTGCTCAAGGAGGGCCCGACGGAGGGATACCCTCTGTTCAAGATCACGCAGCTCCCGATCATGCTGGGCTTCTGCCTGCATCTTGATTTTACTCTGATATGCATTCAGCAGCTCCAATTCTTGCTGCAGCTGCATCTTCAAAACCTGGCACTCTGCTTCCTGTGCTTCATCCAAACGCAGCTGGGAAAGACAGACAATAGAGACGTTTCACTATGGGGTAACCACTCATGACACTCCGGGGGAGAACTGCAGAGAGGGGGAGAGAATGGGACGGGACTTTGTTTTCTTAGCAATACAATTGGTCCCTATTGTACTTCGTTTCACTGAACAGAGGACCTACAGTGACAAAGACTGGTGACAGTGAGCCCACAGCACTGATGCAAGTGATGCTGATGAGCAGTGGCGCCTCGGGAACCACAATCCATACTGCAGAGACCAGACTGCTGGAGGTGCTAACATCCACAGCTCTCCTTTCGCTAGAGGCAAAGAGAAGATCTCTTGCTCTGTTCAACTGGATTAACCAATTACCTGTACGCAGGAGACTTAAGTCCATACCCCTGCCAATGCGGGACTTTGGGCAAAAGAATATAATGACATAAACCTAAAAGCAGTATGATACTGAACTTTTAACCTTCCCATACATAAATTAAGCCAGCTACCCTGCCTCACAGCATCAAATTTGTGCACAGCGATGCGAGCAGGACGCAATATGCAAGAAACGCAAAGAAAACTGCACATTCAGTTGCAGCAAATACTCAAAGCATTGCTCATGTGGTCATTCCTTAAAGAAGGAATCTCTTAAAGAAGGAATCGCAGAACTTTCACGACACTTTTACCATTGTTTCAGATTTACAGCCAAAACTCTGGACTCCTCCATGACTCAGTGAGCATCTTTTCCACCAGTGGGACATGCGTTGGTTGGCATCACTGAGAAATCAAAACCTAAAGGACTTCAGACAGCCAGCTGCGCATTATTTAACGATGCTCTAACAGGGATGTTTATGCTGTCAAACTTTGTGCAAAAGCAGTCCTCCGGCCACACAGATGCATCACTCTGCATCTCTGCAACAGCAGCTTCAACTTCAACCTGCCTGAAGGGGGTAATACCTCTTTCCTCTGTGTTTGAACGCTGCTTTTTAAATACAGAGGAATGACTGTGCAGGGTATGGCGCGTGCAGCGAGGAAGCAGCCTGCTGTCAGGATACAGATCGGTTAAAATGCAAACATCCCTATTTGGCTGAGGAACCCTGGGTCCCTCGGAGGCGACTCACAGCTTGTGTAGAGAGCATTTCATTAATGCTGTGATCATACTGCTCAGCCAGGATAGCCAGCTTCCGGGTCTGCTCCTCCTTGAGCCGTTTGAGGACAGCTTTATGTTCACTCTTTGGCGTGGTCTCCAGCAGATGGTTTCTCAGTGCTTTGTACTGTCTGGTTTGGATCTTGCATGTATCCTGAAACTGCTTCTTTATCTGTAGTTCTTTTGACTGGAAAGATGGAGGGGACACAAACAAAGAAAAAACCAGCATGTTTCAAATGCGAGAAATATCCATTCAAATGGATATTTAGGATTACATTAAGGATATGAGTTCAAGAATCCACAAATGTATATTAACATCTACAGTGCAAGGAGGGAAGCAAAATACACAAGAGGCAATGACTATTGCTGCAGCTGCTTTGACACTGCTACTGTGCGAAACAATTACAATACAGACACTTTTATAACAAAGCTCCAGCCTAAATACAGCTGTCTCTGCACAAAGAGCCTCACATTTGTCACTGGACTGGATCCAGTCCTGGGTGTTGCTTTTCAAGAAAAGTTCTTGAGGGACAGGACTAATATTTATTAGCGCCAAAAGCCATACTTACACATGACTATGCTTTTATGGCACATATATATGAACAGCACTTAATGTTATGAAAAGCAGCGGATCTGGTGCATGGGAAGGAACATGGAAAAAGAGCAACACTTTTTCCATTGAGGGTTTGATGAAGATAGTATCAAGGGTTAGAATACATCTCAAGAGCCTGGTTTTCATAAAGATACTAAAAAATGGCTGGGAAAGATTAGACACTTGAAGACGGGACGCCACAAGCAACATTAGCATTGTGCCAGCCTGGCAAACAAAACAATTCCCCAGTCCCGACGGAGGCTTACTGGAGACTGAGTTTTTTCCTTTGTACTTGCTAGGATCTCCTTATTGCTCAGCGACACAACTTTGTGTGACTGCACCCAGGGCTGGGAGACATCAATCCTGGAAAAGCATCTGGACCTGATTTTGCTGTATGACCTTGGGGAAACTATTTTTTGCTTTCACCTGCCTTACCCACCTCCAGAGCAGCTCGTGAGGGTTAACATCTACTAAGTGTTTTAAGACCCTGAAAAGGAAGACGTCCGGGAGTCCCTTTCTATAGGAGGGCTGGCAGGGATACTTCTAACCAAGCAAAATCTGGAAGTGATGAGCAATGCTGGTTAACTGACAGATAGTCAAGTTCTTCGTGGTAAGAAAAAAAAAAAACACCAAATAAATAAAAAAAACCCTAAACTCCCACATCAGGGCAGTCAATACACACTCTGGGTCATTCCCACTGTCGGCCACCATGGTCAAATCCTGAAGCACTGGGGGCTGGAACAGAGCATAGGACCAGATTCCTCTCCCTTGGAAGAGTTCTGGGATCTGAACCAGGCAGATATACGTGCACGACTCCCGTCAGCTCCTCCACTGCCTGCTCCTGGCACTAACTCAAGGCTCAGCAGGGTAGGTGATAAGCGCAGCACTTGTAGCTACCTAGAAAGATGCAGTGGAACCAGATAATATATCCAGCCCAATTTAGACATCAGCATGCTTTGCTGCATAAATCACAATTCCACTTTGCTAACCTGATGCAGGAAAACAGGACGAAGATGGGTTTCATTCAACCCAAAACATGTATCACTGAGAGGAATACCTCACTTTTACTCTTTCTAAATTCCCAGCAAGTTATTTCCCTCCAGGAAACCTTTAAGGTTGTTTCTCCCTGCCCTAAGGGAAGCGTCAGCAGGTTACACATTCCCATCAGGGACCTGGTTGCAACAAAACACTAGCAATCCCTTCTGTCCTGACTTTCTGTGAAGTCTTGCTTGGACACCAGACTCTTGTTTACAGGCTTCCAATCCAAAGGCTTTAGCAACAGGAAACAGAAGGGAGGGGTAAGATTTCCAGTCAGACTTCTGACAAGATCATTTTGACCTAGTATTGTGAAATACCAGCAAGAGGGTATTTGCATCACAATTAACACACTCAAAATAAAAATAGTTTTCACTGAAGGGTGAATTCCAGTTATCGGTCCTTCTGGTGCTGTAATAGTGGCAACAGACACTGACCGTTAAAAAACCTGCTTTCAGGACAAAGGACCTCACTAAATAACAAAGGGAAAGCCTGAAACATGTGCCCTCGAGGGAAAACGTTGCTGGAGAGAGAAACTGAACAAATAGTCAAATTATCTATTCAATTAAGAATACTTGCCTGCGCTAGTCAGAAGCAAGAGAAGAGTTAATACCAGGGAACAGTCTTGATAAATAGGGGATTGTACAACAAACCAACGGTTGTCCAGCAGGCTGCATTATTAGCACTGTGCGTACGCAGAGGTGCTGGATTGGCAGCTCAAGCCCGAAATCCTTCGCTAATCGCAGGACAGCCACGCAAAGCAAAGTGCAAGCTTTCCATGCTCCCCGCAAAACGCTCCAGCCCCGTCCTCACTGGAAAAGGGAAGGGGTTGAAGAGTCTGCAGAGGTGAGAGGGCAGCCAAGCCTCTGCAGCCCAGAGGGACCGCCGACCCCGCTGTCCCCACTGCCAGCTAGGGAACGAGACCGGACACGCTGCCCACTCGTGTCTGCACAGCATCACCTTGGGGAGGCAGAACTCATTCACGCTAATCTCAGAAGGATCAACCTAATACAGCTGCTTCAGTTTTATTCAGCTCAGAGTGCAGCGCAGCTTCCCTGTGAAGTCATCAGCTATTTATACACTATATCCTTGGAGATTCTCAACAGCGATCAGATGGTCCCTTGTTCTCACAAGCTAGGTTTTCACTATTTAATATTATTCTAATATTGACAAATCAGGTATTTATTTTCTTTGCTTAAGTTCTATTTTCAAGTTATTTGCTCTGCAAGAAGGTAACTTGCAGGTGGTGAAAACTAAGTCAGATGGGAAATATCACGAAGAGGAAAGACCTAGAACAAGAAACCCCATGCTCAGTATGCCATACACTCATTTTGTTACTGGCACAGCTGAACACTGGGTGGAGAGAAGAAGTCTGCCTCCTCAAAGGAAATGTACCAGGCAGCTTTGTGAAAGGCCTTATACTCCCTTCTCAGACACTTCAGAATAAACCACTGGACTTCTTTGGATGAAGTGAAGGCTTACAATGAAAACACTAAAGCCTCAATTACAGAGGCCCTATAGTTCTGGTCAGCCACCGCAGTTACAAGGGCAGCACGAGAGACCCATGAGAGCACAACACAGCAAAGGTCAGTGCTAGGAGCTTCCTGAGGACACTGCAGTTGGCTGGTATCTCTTTCGCTTCCCCCCCACTTGCTAGCACACCAGCCTTAATATAAAAACAACAACAAGGTGAGCTGGCCAAGACCAATAGTGCAGTTTCATTTTGATGCACACAGCAACACAAAGCTCTTTGTTTTGTTTTGTTTTTTAAATGACACTGCTTCAATACAGAAAAATAGATTTTATTCCTGTATTTGGGAGGAGAAGAGAACCAGAAAACGGTGCAGAAGGAAGCAGAGGTGGAAGCCCACTGCAAAGATTAAATGCATTTTAAACTGCCACAAAAAGGAAGGCACATTGCTGAGAACAATAGTTTTCCAAATAAAAGGAGGGAATAGTGCTGCTATGGCCTGCCTGCAACACACTGCAATCCTGATCACCATTGCTGTGGTTCATACGTTTGGTGCTGGTAGGGCTGCGGTTCTCCCTGGTGGTCACACAACTTGACAAATATGGCACTTTTTTTAAAAAGATATTCATTACAGAATGAGACACCTCTGCAAACTAACGAGCTTCAAAATACCTTGGACCTGCACGCACTGCAAACGAGAACTCAGCTGTCATGTACCACCTTTCCACCACCACCAGCAGCTCGCGCCCAGAGCTCCTACATCACTGAGTACCTTCAGGCTCTTGGGCTGCTGCCGGACCTCCATGACGTGCTTACGCCTCAGCTCCCGCTCCCGGCGCTTGTTGTATTCCAGCTGGTTGGTGAGCTCAGTCTGGTGCTGGAGTCGGATCAGCTCACAGCGCATCTTCTGGATGGTACTGAGATGGCGGAACTCCAGCTCCTGCATGGACTCGTGCTGACGCAGCAGCATGGCGTGCTCCAGGTCCTTCTGTGTCTGCCTTTTGTTTAACTCCTAACGGGAGGGCAAAGGGAATTATTAGATTCTTTGTACTCACTTGGATTTCCGTTCGCAACCTGACATTTCACTTTGTTCACAAGGGCATTTCTCTCTTTCCAAGGCATCTGAGGACAGAGCACAGAGTTTCTACGTCTTATCAGAAGCAGACAGCACCACCACCGGTAATTTTTCCTTCCTCATTTCACTTTTCTTCTTCCTGTTCTAGACGCTCAACAGAATTCACAGTAAGCATTTTCTGGAAGGGACTGTAACTGTTGCGCCTGTTGACTTTTTGGATCTAACAACTATCCCACAATAGGCCACTAATCTGAACATTTGATACCGCATGATCCCATAAATGCCGCAGGGATTACCAGACAGCATTGCAAAACGTATCGAATCGTTATTTTACCAAAAAACTTTAGATGTGGTAATTACCACTTCAGTGAGATTGGAGTTGGATTGCAGGTGCTCCCATGAGATACATTTCACGTAGGTGGTTCCAGGTCTCATCTCTGCCTATTCTCTTACCTCCCGGACCAGGTCCTGCTCCAGATTATGGCGGCCAAGGAGCATCCGTCTCTTAAAGCGGCGACACTCCAGCTCCAAGTACTGCCTCTGGCGCCTCAGTAAGTTGGCTTCTTCCTCTGCCTGGAAATGCTGGATGTTCTCCTTCTGCTTCGAGAGCCACTCCTGCTTCTCCTTCTTTGGAGTGCTCTGGTTTTCATTCAGCTCCTGATAACAGCAAGGTAACTAATTGTGGAATAGTCACGTTAAGCTCCTTGGCCCTGAACAACTGGAAGGACCTGCCTAATGAACTACGTTTCAAAGCTGTTTCACCTTGTCTTCTCGTGGCCAGCACCATCCCAGCCTCTGCAAAATGCATCATATTGCATAGCTAAGGGAACGCCAGGAGACAATTCACAGTGGAGAAAATTTAACTACAACTTCTTTTTGCATTGGCCATTTTAACTGGCCAAAATGCTGGTTCATGTTCACAGTTTCCAGACATATGTATTAGCTCAAAACGTAAAAATGATGGTTTGCCACTGAAAACAAAGACACTTGGAGGTCCTGCCATACTGCCTGACAAATGTTTTTACAGGCTCCCAAAGGACTGAGAAGGAAAGCATTGTCATCCTGTTGTTGAAACAAAACTCCAGCCACATGAGGCACATTAGAAAATGTTTGTGTCTTGCTTGATCAGAACACATCCACGTTTTGTAAGTAACTCACCAAGGCAGGGCCACTTACAAAAACAATATAAAGAAGTTCACAGGTGAAACTTAAGGCCACAGCTTCCACATTTGTACTAAATTCAATAAGAATGAAGCACCTTTGGCAAAAAACTCTGCTTGCTTGAACTGCAGACTAGAGATGCCCATACAGTAACTAGACTTGTCACGATATATTTCAACTTAAGTACGAGACAGACTTCCTCTTATTTCATCAGTGTTGGTGCTCTGTGATCTACTGCCCACTTAGAAAAAGATTCTATGTTATTACAAAGAGCCCATGCTACTATAGTTTTTGTTAGATCTTTCTTGGCTCTGCTGCTCTTTAGCCTTTTTTTCTCCTGGGAAAAGTCTATGTTTGGGAATATTCCCCTTTGGAGCAAGTTCCAAGGTTGCGTCACACAAGTTGATGGTTGAACACTAAATGGTTCTTTCAAAAAAATTATTTATAGTGCTTACGGTTTCAGACACTCCACAAAAAGAATCAGGAAGTTTGACTCTACAGTTTCTCTGCATTTCACAAAGGTCATGATTTTCACTACAATACAGTGATTATTAAACTATTACACAGCTTTCTCCATTAAAATTAAGTAGTGTTTTACAGATATTTTCCTAAAAAAAAAAAAAAAAAACCAAAACCAATCTGCAGGTCATCTTTACTGCTCTGTTTTCTTGCTGCTGCTACAGAAATACCATTTAAGTGATAAGAAACTTCACTAACTGCTGCAGTACACAGTCAATATCTGCAGCAACAAGGTATGAGAAAAAAACCAAATCAATCATAGAATCATAGAATAGCAGGTTGGAAGGGACCTCAAGGATCATCTGGTCCAACCTTTCTTGGCGAAAGCACGGTCTAGACAAGATGGACAAGCACCCTGTCCAGCTGAATCTTAAAAGTGTCCAATGTTGGGGAATCCACCACTTCCCTGGGGAGATTATTCCTATGGCTGATTTTTCTCATGGTGAAAAATTTTCCTCTTGCGTCCAATCGGAATCTCCCCAGGAGTAACTTGTACCCATTACTCCTTGTCTTTTCCATGTGACTCCTTGTAAAAGGGAGTCTCCCTCTTCTTTACAGCCACCCTTTAAATACTGAAACACGGTGATAAGGTCTCCCTCTAAGTCACCTTTTCTCAAGGCTGAACCACCCCAACTCTCTCAGCCTTTCCTCATATGGCAGGCTCCTCAGCACTTTGATCATCTTTGTGGCCCTTCTCCCGACCCTCTCCAGCCTGTCCACATCTGTTTTCCGTAGCGGGGACCAAAACTGAACACAGTATTCCAGGTGTGGCCTGACTAGAGCAGAGCCGAGTGGGATGACGACTTCTTTATCTCTGCTGGTGATGCCCTTGTTAATGCAACCCAGCATCCTGTTGGCTTGCTTTGCCACTGCACCACGCTGTTCACTCACACTGAGCTTGTTGTCCACCAAGACCCCCTGGTCCCTTTCCACAGAGCTGCTCTACACCCAGGCACATCACAGCCTGTGCCGCAACCCTGGATTATATTTTCCCAGGTGCAAGACCCTACACTTGTCCTTGTTGAACTTCACAAGGCTCTTGTTAGCTTGTGACCTTTCATAAACCACCTTTTTTCATTTCTTAAGATTGCCAAATTTGTGTGTTTCTGGCTAAAAAGTAATATTAAACAATGAAGAAGTTTGTACTTTCACAAGATAAGCATATAGGTGGCAATATACAAATAAACCCTCTTACTCTAAGGTCAAAGATATGAAACAAATACAGTTCTTTGCTCATGAAATGCAGAACTTGCTGCAACCCAGCAAATGATCTCCTGCACACAATGGCACTTCTATTTCCGAACGTCCACTGCTCTCGCGCTGTGTCGTACACCGTACCATAGTCACATTTCTCATTACAGATGAGTTACCTCTTTCAGCTGCTCTTTACGCAGTTTATATTCTCTCTTCTGGGACTCCAGGAAACTGTTCAATTCTTTTTTCTGTTGGGCCTGAATATGCTGTTGAAACTTCTTTTCTTCATTGGCCATCACTTTAGCCTACAGCAAATCCAGCAGCAAACGAGTTTGAGTCCCGATGGATTACCGCTCACATTCCATTTCAGCCCCAAGACCGGGAACTCATGGTACAGCCACCACGATACTCACCATGACTCTGAATAAGCGTGAATCTCAGGAGCTTGCCCTCACTCTCCTCTCATTCCACCCCCCCCATCAACACACCCAGCAGGAGTCCTTTTTCGGTGCCTCATTTCCTCAGCCCTACTGTTCAGCTAGTCTTGCCTAACAAAGTCAACACCTTGCGATACACTATATCCTCAGCCCTCCACCGAGAGATCCAAGATGAACCAAGAATCAATAATAATCGCTGTAGGCGGCATCGCTTCATTATCAATTATTTAAAAGCATAAACCCCCCCATATCCATAAGCAACTAGACGGTGAACACTTAAGCGTAGCTGGCACATTTCTCTGCAAGCTGATCTGCCTCCATAACGCTTGATGGCAGTCAGTTATTGACAGCATATACATGGCAAAAGAAAGGGAAACCCTTACAGTATTTTTTCTGGGGTCAGTATACTAACATTTAGTATAACGCACTGCGATGAAGGACATACCTTTCCTCTAGTTACATAAACCCCTTAGTGTAAGGAGGTGATGTATTAGCCTTTTTCTAATTAGCAATTTGCTTGGCTCCTGAAAACAGACATGTAAGAGACTACAATGTCATCTCTTCATCAGTGAGGGGAAGTGGACAATTCAATATAATTAACAAATATAGACTGGTCTGTTAACCTGAAATCTCCTACCTCTTTTTCCATGGCTGCTTGGTGCTTTTTAATTAGCTTTTCCATTTCTGCAGCGAAATTGTTACGCTGTGTTTCAAGATCTTTGTCCAACCTGAGGCGATGCTCGTCCATCTCTGCCTTCAGTTTATTCTCTAATGCCATCAGTTGCTTCTGGTGTTGCCGTCTCATACGTTTATAGCCAGACATCTGCTCTCGGAGTTCCGAGTCTTGTTCATGTTCCTGCATTTGCCTTGTCACCTAGGAAGATAACCACACCGGGCCAAAGTAAGTTAATGCTTCTTAATCCGCTTTTTGCCAGTCTTCGAATCACAAAAGAAAACTATTCAGTAAAGAAATATGATTTTGTTGCAAAGAAAAGCACACATGCTAATGGCAGCAGAGCAGATTAAAAACTGAATTCTGCTGTAGAAGATAAGCTCACATGGGCTCCAGCAGAAAAACTGTACGATTGTTATAAAGCTGGCACTAAATAATGTCTTTTTAGCCCTCTGCAATGAGGGTGCATATATACACACATAGACACACATATATACATATGAAAATAAAAGCCCACTTATTATTATAAACTGTTTCCTGTATTTTGAAAATATCCAATATACACAAATTACATTCGCCCAGGTGTTGCATTTAAGCTTTTACTAACTTACAGTAAACTATTTCAGTGATAATATCTCACTCAACAAGGACACCTCATATTCTGATGAAATCCTAAAAGCTCTAAGCAGTTTCACAGAGCTCTGTTCAAAGGCATCCCTGCCTATACAACCTGATCAAAATAAAAACCTTCACGTACCAGCGATGCTGTGCGTATAGTAGCAAAGTGCTCTCGGTTGCGATAATGAGACTTGTGGCGGGATACTTGGGGAGGAGACTGGGGTTCTGACGCCCGCGTTCGAGGATCTGATTCCTCTCTGTAGTTTTCTTCCTCCTTATCAGGAAATATTAACAGGAGAGAATAAAGAGAATCTGCGTTACTAAAGATATTTATTTTGGTCTGGTTCAAAAGACATTTAAAAAGAAGAAAAACCATTTCACGTTCATCAGCCCTGAAAGATCCTCCTGCCGATAGGCTGAATGAAGGAGTGTACTGCAACAAGAGCTCTGATCTGGGATCTTTGCTTTTGGAAATTTCATTGTGCATTTTTATTACTAAGAGGAAAACTACTAATTAAAGCTGAAGATGAGAAAAACAAATGGAAAACTGAAAACAGAGTTAAAACAGTTTACTTCAACAAAGCATAAGAGCTATAAAGTAGATTATATCAAGTCTGAAAAACAAAACCAGCATCTTTGTAACCCTGAAAAACAGAGGAAGATTTTCATTACACCCACTACAGAAATACCTCAAAGCAAATTTTTAGAATTTGTCATGCTGTATTCCACGTTCTTATGAGTTTGTCATTCATCACAGAGCGATTAGTAGTTAGATAGGATATACTAATTAACTCCCCGAGGAAATACCTGCGTGTCTGTTGCATATCTGGGCAAAGAACAAAACATTCTAACCACACCTATCATTAGCGAGGGAAACGTTACTGCTTTGAGAAAGGTGTGATAACCCCTCCTTGGCCAGAGCAGCATGGTTCAGAGGGACGCTCCCCAGTTTACCCTTCATTGTGCAAAGGTAAAGCAGGGGAAGCGGTTTCACAGCTTGCCATGGCCAGAGTGCTGCATTTCTTTTTCCACACATCTTTGTCCATTAACCAAATATTCCAATCAATTGCTGGGAAGCTGGGTGCTTCAGGAACAGATTTCAGCCACTACTGTGGGTCCTGTGTTTAAGAACTCAGTAACTAGGAAGTAAAAAGGGGGAACTCTTACATCCTTTTGTCCCACAAAGCAGTGTTCTGCAAACTAAGGGCATCCACTAAATAAACCTATTCACAACGTGCCACTCCAGCTCCTCACAGCAAAGCAAACTGCTTTTGAAACAACTCAATTAGTAAAATAACTTTTAGTGAATCAACAGACATAAACGGTTTTTACAGCAACCTTCCAAAATTTCCAGGGCACATTAATATATTTGGGGCACAACACTAGAACCTGCAGACGACGACTTAGGATAGGAAGCACTCGGCTTTTCATCAGCGTGCCAACCAAAATTCTCTCCCATTTCACACCTTCAAAGTTATCCAGTAACAATCCAATGCTTACCGGCTTTAAATGAATGACAGAGCTATTTGACATCACGGTGTGGTCTCCCTCCATCATATCCAGCTCGCTCTTATCATCCGAGGCATCTGGAAGACTGTTAACACTACTGCTTTGGCTACTGGCACTGATAGACATACTAGGAATGGACTGATTACTCCCGACACTGTTCACTGTTCCTGTCCTTCCGACACCATGATCTTGCTCCTAGGAGAAAAGGATTATTAAGAAAATCCAAATCCATCACAGTTGTATCTACGGACATTACTAAATGAAACGTGCATTCCATCCCTTTCTAAAGGCATCTACCTGCCACGTCATGGCAGTTCCCACCCTCCAGGCATTGCCATGAAACATTTCTCTTGTGGGATGCTGGGGACAGAAATAATCAACCTTGTCAAGATTAACTGGCTGATGTCAGACTCTTTTCAACAGCAAGCCTGTTAACAAGCTGAACTCTATCATGTATCAGCAACAGCATGTCACCAGAAACTGTTCTGACACCAGCATCTTCTAAGCACTCAGCTGGGACCCTGCACCTTGCACGGTGCCTTTCTCTACATAAGAGAACTGCAATCCAGAGAGTCTCAATTTCTGCATGGTGACTGCAGCATGCAACCCAAAAAAGACAAATTAATTTCCTTGATGACCTTTTTTTTTTTTTTTAAATCAAGTACAAATTTCTGTGTCTTAGACTCTGAACAACATTCTCCAGCCAAAAGCAGAAGACTGCCAAGGGCCTTGTACATATGGTCAAAGTAGAGGTTAACTGCAGTTGCTGAAAGAGTCCTCAAGAAGCCTCATAACCAGGCAAAGAAAGCCAGGTTTTACGGAACTGGAAGCTAACTGTTCACGCACGAACACATGGCACAGCTTCTTGCCAGCACCAGGCATCTACCCTGTCTGTCCTTGCTTGTGGCTTGAGGTAGCTTTATTCCAAGCACAGAAAGGAAGACATGAGTTTACAGCCAGGTGTGTAAACAGCCTCCATTCGTTTCAGCAAGATCTGAGTTGGGGTTAGTTAAATGACAGCATCATTCTCTGGTTCAGTGATGAAATCCAAAGTTTCTCTCACCTCCTCCTCCTCCTGTGTTTCGACTGCAGGGCCATTGTGTGCCTCCTGGAAAAGGAGCTTCTTCATTTTACGATACTGCAGGTTGTCCAGTTCTCTCACCGCATCCTTTGTTCTCTGAATCAAGTCTATTAACACTGTTTCGGGCCGCTCCCGAAGAACAAACATGTGCTGCAGAACACACAAATAGGTGAGTGACCTCTTATGCCTCCAGCACACACGCTTTGAGGATACAATTGTAAGCTCTAGTTGGGTTTGTTAGCCCTCTTCCCTGCACAGGAGGAGAATACCTTCACAGCTTACACTGGCACTATTTTTAGACTTCACGATCCAGATAGATTTTAGAATGATTGCTTTCTGATGGGAGACATTCACCAAAAAGTAAAGATGTAACAAAACCAGAAATGGTATTTCACATACCATGAAAACGGGCTCAGTTTAAACCTAGACTTCTTTGGATGCTGGGGTACTTAGAGACGTTATCTACTTGTGGTTTAGAAAGGGAAGAGCAACAAATAACATATAAATGCTAAAGGTGTTAGACTGGCTAAGCATCTCCAACCAAATGTTAATTAACTCATCAGCTAACTCTCACTATAAAATCCTTTTCCTTGTTTACAAAAGCTTGAGAATCAAATATTCAGCATACAGCTCTGACTCATAAAATCGGCTGTGAACCTTCAAGCCCGGCCCTAGAACAGCTAGCCACGTTACGCTCTTTTTTTGGAAACATTCACTGCAAAGGTGGCTACATTTTGCCAATAGGTAAAACAAGTCCTGTCTATGTATGTCAGGAGCAGCTTTTGCAGTCTCCAGATGAAATGTGCTGTGCAAGCATGAGTCACTATTAACACCACCGCTAGTTTCATTTTGTTCCTTAGGAGAACTGCATTGCCATTTTCAACATGTCACATTCCCTACCTGTCCCTGAAAGTGGCACGCAGCTGTTTCAGACTATAGAGATGGGAAGGAATACATTCACAAACGTTTAATTTCCATCAATGTTCTCTTTAATTGCAGTGCATTGCTCAAAATAAAACCGATCCGCAGAATTCTGAAATGGCAGGACTGCACACCCACACCAAAACCTTTACTGGATAATTGCATTTACTTTCTGAATACACAGTTTTTAAAGAGGCAAAAGTCCTCAGAACCATTCAAGTAAAAATACGCAAAAAGGTGATGAGAAAACCTTCATAAATAGCATCCATTTCCCAGTCATGCAAAATTTTGGAAAAAAATCGCTGTTTAGCACAAACATGGCCAGGATAAAAAAACCACAAAATAACGTCATGAGCACTGTAAAGAGAATGACAAGTTAGCAAAATTCTGAATGCCACCTGATGCCACAAAGGAAACCCATCAAAGTCACGCTTACAATAAAACAGCTCTAACACCTAACTTCTATGCGAGCTGCCTTCACTTAGGAACTCATCATTTTTTTTTGCAATAACCTACCATACTCGCTTTGTTTCCAGACTAGAGCAAGGAAAATCAAGTATCTGCAGCATACAGGAGCACAAATGAAGAAAAAAAAAGGCTAAGAAATAAAGCAGGAGAAAACCTCCAGATGGCTGAGGCTTACTGATGTCAAAGAAAAGTATGGGGAACAGAAACTGCTTTTCTCTGCCCCCTTTGCCCCAGGGATACACATCGGAACAGCAAATTTCAGTTCTACACGTAAAGCACACAGGTGATGGGAGAGGATAAAGAGCCTTTAGGGGTATATACAGCATAAAATAAAGAGGGAAGTAACGAAAGGTATTTGTTAACTAATGCATGGTAGCTCTGTCAGGATTAATTACAATCACTGGAAGGACAGATTGAGTTTAAGAAACCAAAACTCTCAACAAGTTGATGGTCATCCAGTGTCGCTTGCTGGGCCGTCCTTGTATGGTGAGAACAAGGTTGGCTTGGAGAATCACCTGAGGAACCACCCAAGACACTGCAACGGGGCAGTAAAGCTACAACAGCCAGCTCTGTACGCTCCACAGCGCCCTCAGCTCCAAGGTGTTAGGGATAAGGGCAGAGGGTGCACTGTCAGCTGTAACCCGGCACAGTAGGCGAGACAGAAGTGTGTCCCAAGGCATAGCCTCTTTTTAATATCACATGGAAAACAAAAAGGACAAGCAAGCCAACCTTCAGAAGCTCCTCTGATGTAGGCCTGTCTTGAGGAATTTTCTGGAGGCAAGAATCTACGAAGTTTCGAAAATAATCAGACCTGTGGCAAGGAAAGTGAAAAAAAAAAAAAACAACAAAGCAAAAAAACCACAATAAAAACATCTGAGTTAACTATGCAGTTGAATTTTCAAAGCTCATTAAAGAATCAAGACATTCACATTTGGGCCTTGCTGGTAGGAAGCGTGGGGAGGGACCACACAGACCCAATACTTCATACTACAGCCTCCGACATCCCCGGTCAAGCCAAAGCCCACCGCTAGATCCCTTTAACCTCGGCTTCCAGGTAAAATGTTTCAGCCTAAGAATGCAAAAATATGGGGCAATTCAAGAGGAAGGAAAGTTCCGTATAAAGGCAGACACCCACACGTCTCAGTGCAAGCATCAAACCTGTCAAATACTATATTGCACAAACTCTTCAAGGTCTAAGAAGAGCTCCTGCCCCTTCCACCTCTGTGCGCAGGTGTTTCACCCACAAACCGTACTAACGCCCAATTCCTGAAATGCCTTTGGCCCCTCAGACACGACTTGTGCACCGTTGTGCAACCTGTCACAAGTAACACTTAAGGTCATGATTTGTTTAGTAACGTCTCTCCCTTCACACGCTAAAGTCCCGTATTGTGCCCTTTCTTTCTCTGAAGACAATTTCAGAAGGGTGGGATAATATCCTGAGAAGAGCAGCACATCAGTTGTACAGTTTTATTTCTTTCCTCCCCCACAGCTCCCTCCTGCTCTCAGTGTGTAACAGGGGGTTTTGCTACTGCAATTTTTCAGTGAATTAAATTGTTGCGGTTTTGGTCAGAAAAATGCGTATGATGAATTCAATGTTTTGGCAAGCATCAGGGTGTGAAATAGCCTAACCAGAAAAACTCAAAAGTAGAAAAAAATTTATAAAAATATGGTACAATGTATTTTGTTAGAGGCCTACGTGGGGCAGAAAAATGTAATTAGGAAGTTTTTAACTTCTGAAATTAGTTTACTGTGTTTGCTGTTTCAAAAGACAGTTGTTGAGTTTGGGAGGCACAGAATGTTACTATTGTGCTTCATTCTTCTGAAGTTTATGCAACAGACACTTGCTGCACAAGCGGTGTCTTCATCTTGCAAAGCAACCCTTCAACAAAACAAGATTTAGGAATTGACAGTGCGGTTTGTGATCAAAAAACACTAAAAACCACATTTTTGGCCAGCCTGGAAGCTTCAGAAGTTTACTGACCCTTGAACTGATTTTTTTTCAGGATCTTATGTTCTTTCCAGCAGCATGTCCTGTTTCTACTACATTCTAGAGTCTAAAATGCATATTTAGTAATTGGTCAATTTTGTATATAAAATGTATAGTGAAACTAATAGGAACCTTCCAGCTCACATCCTCCCAACAGGAACCCAGCCATTTCAAGAGCTCAGCATGACAAAGCACTCCATTTACAGCAATTCCCTACAACATTCCTCCCTCAGTAATACTCACCATTCATTAGACTGTAGTGTAGGGGATTCATTCTGCGCTATGTGATATAAGGCACTCATTGCGTTCATATTAAACAAAGGAGGCTTCCTTTCCGCTACACACAAAAGAAAATAGTTTTTATACAGGGAGATAGTCTCATGGTTTTTTCTCTTTTTTTTTTTTTTTTGTTTTTAGTTTACATCCCTTTAAAAAGAAAACCACATCAGCAGAATCACTATTGCCTGAACATGGAACCCCAAACCAACCCTACCCTGCAATCAGACAGATATGTTGGCACAGGTCCTATACCATTGCAGAAGATGAAAGCACTTTGAAGATCAAATGCCTTGTCCTCTCAAGCTTTTAAATTACGTGGTTTATCATAGTTGAGTTCTCTGACTCATTGTAATGTACTAAAATAAGAGTAAGTTAACAGTAAGCTCTATACTCGGTGTTTAGCCACTAAGCATTCTTGGTTTCATACACCCCTCCCCACCTTTTTTCTTTTTAAACTACAGTTGCTAAAAAGCTAACAAATATTTAAATCCAGCAGGACGGCAGTGATGAAGAAAAAGCTGGTTACAAGAACCATCAAATCACACGGGCAGGAAGTCAGTAACAGGCCAACTCTTTATACTATTTTGAGAGTTGCATTCTCTTTGGCTCTTCTCTCTCTTTCAAGCTTGTGTTACTCTTATAGACTGACACAGCATGAAAGCTTAATGAGGAAGGAGATGATCTCACTGTAACAACAAAATTGAAGCTTCATCAGAATGTTTATGGGGTAAACCTATAAAGCTCAGCCTCGCCATAAACATTCCAGAGAAGCTGGTCAGGCCACGAGGATGTCCCTACACTAGCGAAAGCGCAACAAAAAAGCTTTCCACCCCGAATAATAGAAAAAAACAAACAAACAAACAACAAGGAAAATAATGCTAGTTTTCTTATTCTGCTTTTCAATTTTGAGTCGAATAGCAGCAGTAAGCTATGCATCAGAGATCACAGTTCACTCATCGCTGTCACAGGATGGACTAAGCTCTACAAATTCCTCTGAACAGGTAAACTGAGGAGTTAAGCCCTTCCTCAAATGTAGCACTTTACCTCCTCTAATCTGTCAGATAACTAGTTGCTGCTCTTGAGGATCAGACTGATTATCCATTAAACTATTTTAACTGACCCCTTAAATTATTTTAACTGACTGCTCTCCCCAGCTTTTTTTCTCTTAACTCACCTGGATAAAATAGAAATCATCAGGAAACACTGAAACTGAGCCCTCAATGAGGCCATTTCTAAGACTAGGTGATAATTTGAGAAGAGTACAAGACATCTCATTTTTCTGCTTTCTTCCCATGCTTATTCAAACCAACACAAATGAGACAACCACACTGACCCAGCCTACAACGCTCTACTGTCCTGACCTAGTCTCACCTCCCACCACGCTAGAAGCTGTAGACGAAGCCTAACGCTTCATATTGCAAAAAAGCAGCGTGCAGGAAGGCACCCGGGGGTGTGGTGGCCATGAGCTCACTGCATTCCTGGAGCTCTGCAGCCAGCCAAGTCTCCTTACTCCACTCGGAGCAGGATTCTGTCATGACAGTCACACCCCTTCAACTTGCTTTATATTGGCAACCAAAAAAATCTCTGCTCTGAAGAAAGAATCTATTTCACGTCTTGGAAGAAAATGAAGTTGACAGTTTGGAATGCCAGACAGCATTTTTAGCTAAACTGTGCAGTTCACATGGATTAGTGTGTTCCTGAGAGCTTTCACTGCCCGGCCAGGCTGCTCCTCCACCGAGGTCCGTCTGGAGTATGAGCAATGAGATCTGACAAGGATGGCAGGACAGCCTCAGGTGCAACCAGCAGCACTGAACCCCACCATCCCAAGAAAAACTTACAGTTAAGTGCTTCTAGAGAGCTGGGTCCTGACTAAAACCTGAGCAGTGCTGTGCACCGTGTTGTGCTTAAGCAAGCGTATTTTTGTTCCAAGAAAATACTACACGTTAAATTTAAACAGAATGCCACACTAACGTAGTCTTTTTAAACCGACGTTCTGCTTTAAGGAGTCTCTTCTAATGGCAATTGCCATCATTCTTTGGGGTTTGATTTATAGGTTACCACTTCAAAATTGGATTATTCCATATCTTTTTCTTTAAAACAAGAAAAAAAACAAGAAAAAAAAAAACACAAAAAAGTGATTTTCCAGGCAAATCTATTCACAAGTGACAACATACACTGAATATAGCTTTGAAGCTGTCCACTTAATCCAAAACTCCATTATTGCAGAACTTGTTAACACACCTTAAATTTTCATGCAAACGATTTCTATCATTAACATATTTTCACACTGGTACTTTTAATGGTTCATTTCTAAAGCTGTTCAGCAAATTGGCTGGTTTTCAGTTCAAAACTTAACTGCCTCTCCCACAGAACGTGAACACCGTTAGTGGTATCGCTTGGCTATTTTCTTTGTGCATATAACTCTTTCTCTTCGTGTGATGAAAACACCAGTTCAATAAACATCAAATTGGAGACTTGGTCTTCAATTCTAGGGAGCACATTTAACTCTTTTCTCTAAAACTCAAGTCCCAGAGAAATCAGAACAAGGAAGGAAGCACAGATCTTCTGCACTGAGATTCAGCTGAATAAGTTCTAGGTATTGAATAACTACATTTCCCAGTTTTTCAAAAGAAATAACTTACCTAACTCAATACAGGTAATTCCAAGAGACCAAACATCTACTTTGCCATCATACTGCCCTTCATCCATGGCTAAAATCACTTCTGGGGCCATCCTAAAATAGGAAATTGGTGCTCATAAAAATCTGGGCAATGGAACACATTATCATTTCAATGAAAGAGGCTGTTCCACTGATGTCAGCTACCATAAACAAATCATTCCCCAAGGTATCAGGCATGAACATGGGATACTGGGAAGAAAGACCAGGCACCCACACTAGTACAAGCCTGTAGAGAGGCTGCACAATGTTCTCCTGTGCTTTGCCCAGCTCTGCATTTAGGAGTATCACCACCTTCTCGCCCTCCCACATTTCCAATCGTTTAGCTGGCTGGCCAACTCTGGTGAAATAATTATAGCATGCAGTTGTGTAAACACCACAGATTAGGTGTAAGAGATCAAAAGCATACAAGGGATCTGCAAAGGGCTTTGTTCAATGAACCTGGCCTTTCCTATGAAAGAAAAAACACTTCAGTTATTTCAACAGCCACACGTGGTGAGAATATAGGAATTGTTAAAACCACTGGGGGGAGTGATTAAAATATATTGCAGATGATTCGATCCCACCTCTACCACTTAAAGTCAGCATAAGTAGAACAACAAAATATTATTACTTTTTGTGAACTACAAATACAAGGATCTGCAATTTCTTGAAGTCAGAGTCTACTTACTACTTAATCTTTTTTTGCAAAGTACGTTTCAGCACTACCCCAACCGGAAGATTACAAAGCTAGCTCAAATAGAGCCCAAGTATATCAAATACCCAATAAATGATCTTTTTACTGCACAAAGCCAGAAATGCGTAAAACTCTTGGCTTACCAATATGGCGTCCCCACAAATGAGTTGGCAGGAGATGCTATGGAAGCAGACCCAAAGTCAGCAAGTTTCACTTGTCCTGGCTCTGTCAGCAGGATGTTTCCTGCCTTGATATCTCTGGTGATAGAATACAAGTGTCAGTATTACTCCTCTCCAGAAAAGAAAACCTTCTCTAGGACAGACTACAACACACGCCAGTATTCACACGTTCAAGCTGCAGAATATCCACATCTGCTCCAAATACAAAATCTTTAACCTTTAGTTTAATTGCTTAACACGGCCCTTGATCTTGGAATCTAGTTTGTCTTAAAAACCAGCTTAAAATGGCACACCTGCATAAGCTTCATATACAGTTCAGCAAAACCATCCGAACCAACTACGCCCCTTATAAATGTTTTTAAGAAAGTCCTAATAATGTAACTATTCAAACCCTTCATCCTACTAAAATGCAGCAGGTACTTTAAACACAAACAACATTTGCATCCCATACTTACTGTGTGCTTCTCAACACATGTGTTCATGTAAAACTAATTTTTCAAGTATTAATGCTCCCCCCACCCCGGCAATCTTACAGTTGCTACAAGCTATTTAGGTGGACTCAGCCTGCCTTGCTATGCCCTGCTTCAGGGAACAATCAGCATCGTATGAAGTATTGAAAAGCTTAGCAGATTCAAAGCAATTCTGCAGAAATTATGAACACCAGCTGTAAGAGACTGTGCATATGGAGATACATAGCTTGCTAGTATTTGACTACCGTAAATCACTAGCTTGGGAGCATAGAGGCAATGTGAAAAGAAAACCTCTGCTTACAAATATTCAATTTGGGGTGAAGGGGATACAATCAACAAAATAAATAACCTGCAAGTGTGTCAGACAGCAAAAGTATAACCACTTACCTATGGATCATATTGTGAGAATGCAAGTATGCTAATCCCTGGAGAGCACCATGGGTAATTGCTGCTATTTCCACTTCTTGCAATGGCTTTTTATGAACTTAAGGAAAGAATTTATTTGAAATTCAGTATTAAAGAAAACAATGCAGTTTGCAGCATGCATGTGAGTACTGTTAACAACATAAAAAGAGAGAAAATACTAAAAGTTCATTTTTACTAGGTGCAGTATGAGAAGCAAACATAAAAATTGTTCACAGCACACATTCTATAATCAGATGTAATCTTCTAACTGCAAAACAGCAGCTATTTGCTGTCAAAAAGAGAACTACTTTGCAACCATAACCTACATTCCTGTCAGTTCTGTGACCATTCTGCTGAATACTTATTTGAGACTCCATATTAAATCTTCTATTAATGAAGCTAAATCCCAAACCCTAGAACTTCGCAACAATTCACATGTGAATAAACTGCAGCAACACAGATGATGCTCCGGCAGCTCAGCCTTTTGTCCTGAAACGCTTCTGGCAAGGAAAGGGGACAAATAACTTACTGGTCACACATATATCTTCAAAGAAAGTTCACTTCAAGAAGCCTGACAGAAAAACGACCATTTAACAGAAGACCTCATCAAGGAAAACCCTAATACCGATGCAGTGCTATTTTAGTCAACAGGCCTGCAGTTGTTCGTAAGCATTAGGATCAACAACAAGGGTTTTCAGAAACAAATCTCCTGTCATGACAGGAGAACTTAAAACTCAGAAGAAAATAAATAGCTGACTGGCAAGTTTAAAAGAATATGAACAAAGGAGAAACTAGGCGCCTAGGAAAGGTGATATTCTACAGAAAAACCATTACAGTCATGTAAGAATTTGAAAAACTGCACCTGTTCACACACACTCTGCCCCCAAATAAAGCTATATACTCCAGAACAACTCTGTGATACTGTAACCTCCTACTTCAGTACTATACTTCTGACCTTCAAGTAAATAAACATGCGTGACATACCTTCTAGTAAGTCTGATGCTGATCCTAAACAATATTCCATAACAAGCTGTATGGGAAGAAATCAAAGTAGTTGTTAGAAAATCTCTAATAGTAAATGTATGTTTTCTAGATTTCTGTGGAGAAATCTAGAAATAATCACTGCTTCATACAATGCAGACTGCCACAACAGAACAAGTACTGGTTGTAACATAAGCCCCATCCTAGCACTGTCACACTGACCCTCCCACAAGGACAGCTCTAACTGGAATTAGCATAGCCTTCCTGTGTAAGGTACCAAGCAACAAAACTTGTAAGGAAGGCCAAAGCACACTCATAACCAGTTATGTATTGTATTACAGATCTTATTTTATATGCATGTACTTAACAGGAATGTTAAATTGCACTTAACAAGCTTATCAGAGTATTAAAGGGCTATTCAGGGATTTACTTAAGATTTTGTCCCAGTCAGATTTCAAAAAAAGAAACTAAAATTTTGTCTTACAGATTTGTTGAAGCTAGTACATGAACAGCATATACAATTTAAACTATTCGTTCAACAATATGATTTCTGTAGTCTATCGTACTACAAAAACTTTGTCAGAGAGGTGTACATCACACTTTTCACTTGACAAAATGCTTCCTCCACACAGCCAGTCACAGTTATTCCTACACACACATTTTTCTGCACACAAACTCAAATAACCCAAATTTTGTTGGGAGTGGGGGTATGGTTTTTTGTTTGTTTAAATAAAATATATTAAATTAATTAGGCGATGACGGCCAGAGATAAAACCAAGTTGCCACCTGAACACTCAGGCAGAGAAATGACAACAGAAATAAACAATATGCAATAGAAGAATTTAGTTTAACAGAAACACTAACGACTCATTTAGTTAAATAATGAAATACAAATGACTTAAAATATACTTTGATTACAATTATCGGTAGGATAATTCTAGCCTATTCCATTAAAGTACAACTGAACACTCTACTTCTGGAACATACTCAGTCAACCTGTGAAGTTCTGAACCATTAATACCCAGTAGCATACCAAATGCATTGTTAAATGACATGCAAGTATCTCATAAAGTTGCCATACTTGCCTCCCAGGCAGTACAAGTGAAATTCTCACCTTTCCTTAGAAAAAGAAAAGTGATGGATAAATTTGTTGCCCCCTCACCTTATTATTTATTTCAAATATTCAGTCCATCAAGCTAGACGCACTAGAACAACAGCACAATCACAATCACAATCACCTTACTGTGGCAAGTAAAAGGGAAAATTTCCCTAAATCTTGTTTCCAAAAACTACACTGAGTTTTGCTGAGCATCTGTAAGGTCCTTGGCTATTCTCATCTGAGTTTGTGCAATCCAAGTGTTCAGGTGCCTCTTGAAAGCCAGCTGGAGATATTTTAAAGCGCCCTTAACCAAGGCAAGGGAAGTGCAGCGTGCAGCAGATGCTTACCCATGCTGTATGCTCCCGCAAATAGCAGCCTTTGTATTCTATACTGTTAGGGTGTTTTATTCTTTGGAGGAACTTGACTTCCTTAATAATATCCTGCCATTTCTGTAGAAAATAAAAGGAATAGAAAGACTTTATAAAACTGTTACTTTCAGTTGGTTGTTATTAAGTTCATATGTCATTTAATTATGATAAGAAGCAAAACTATCTTAAAGTTCCAAAACAAAACAGATTTACATCAGCACTATGATGTTCACTGCTTAACCCCTCAACAGATCTACAAAGTAAGTTTTTGAGCGATTAGGTTGTATGTAAGGATCACCCATCAGTGTAATACTTTATAGGTATGCATAGGATATACCGGTAAGCACTTAATATCTGAGCAAGTCCTCAAAAAAGAAGCGATCCTTTTTTTAAGGGATACTGGTTCTGTTGTCAAATCAAACATACATCCCAACCTGAAAGAGATGTGGATGATAAGTGTCCCTCAGCAGGATCAAATGTCTCTCACTTAACTCTTGCAGATATAAAGACCTATCCCTGCTAGTACCTATATTACACTGGATGAGCCTCCATTTATCAGCTGCCAAATACCTGACTACATTCTTGGTAATGTTTCTCCATTCCTAGTTCAGTCTTTACAACGAGTGATTCAAAATGAGTTACTTACTAGATAAGGGAATGGTTCTGCAAGAGTGAAAGAATAAACAGATAAAACAAAATCCAGGTTTATAATAAGGGGAGCTCTGCCAGCGCAACTTTAAAGTACAGAAGAGGCCAAAATGTCATGTTCCAATGGGTGCCTAGACACTGCTGCTACTCCCCTTGGAGGAAATCACCAAGTCCTCCCACTTGCTGCCCATCCACACCTCCTCAGGCAAGGAAGGCAGAAGCATCTAAGTGCAACAGCAAAATTACAACTACCAGAACGGATTTTCAAAACCAAACGCAGTAGCTGAAACTATTTAAATACGCGGACGTCAACACAAGACTGTTGACACTGAAAATGTTCTCGAGAAAGAGTATCAGTTCTGAAGTTAATCAGAGGTAGAGAACCCTCACCCAACACCAAAAGGTTCAAAAGCCATTTTCCAGGTCCTGTTAATCTCTCAGCACACACTTCCTCAGGTGTATGTATGTGGCTAGGATCCACCGATGGACACAGGTCCCATATACCCAAATGCTTTGGAAAACATGTGTAAAACCCAAATCCTCCACAATAAAAATTTTAGGGCTAGAGAAACAAATGAAACGAAGGAACATGGTAGCCACAACCAAGGCAGCTGACTGACTAGGCATTTTACAACACCAAAAATTTCATGAGAACGACATCAGTGCAGCTATACTAACATAAACTCTCTCACTGACACCCTCGTTCTAGTACGAGAACAACTGAGTCGCCTTTTACCTTTAGCCTTAAAGGCTTCGAGGTACTAAGCAATAAAAGCCAAACCAAGAAAGGGCCACACTAAACTTCTACAGTGGGAAGAGAGAGCTGATAGACTAGTCAAGACGTATTCATGATTTCCTGCATAAGAAAAAGCTCCAAGATCACATTAAGAGCACAGCACTACATATTTCAAAGGTTTTAAACCTATTTTTAGTATAAAATATGTCCTTTTAGAGAATAATTGCTCCTACCAATGATAAAATCTTACTGTGAAACCAAAGAAAATATAAATGATACCAGAATGCCTTTAATCAATTTTCTTTACATAGCTTAGATCATAACTCCAGCAAACTTCTGAACAAAACAAATAAATATAAAAGTAAAATAGAAAGTGTTTTAATCCTGATCTTATTACTTTCTTCAAAATAAAGAAACATATGCATTGAAGACAAACCAAAGCTATTTCTGAAGCATGCACAGTTTGTTTCATTCATGTCAATAGAATATTTATAGCTCACAGTAATTAAAACAGTAGGACAAGTAGTAAGTACAAATTATTCTTTCATCAGTACACAGTTAAACAAGTCACCGCAGTGACAAAATAGAAACATGCCTAGCAAATTTAACTATGAAGCTAGAATTTGGGACTGCTGGAGAGACACTGCCACCTCTACCTCCTACACAGATACATACACACACACAGAAAGGAAGGAATAAGTTCAGCTCCTTGTAGTGCAGATGATCAATGCACAAAAGGCAGGCACAGAAAGCAACGAGTTGTTTAGTCAAACTCATCGGAGCAAGACTGCTTCTAAGACCGGAATATAGAGAATGGAGGGAGGGAACCATAAATGCCTTGAACAACATGCTTACAATAAATACTTCTGTTGAAAAAACACACCACAATTTGATAGATGTCATTTACCAGAAATAATATCAAATCAGCTGTTCACATCATGTCGGGCTTTTCAAGAGTCTGTATTAGCACTTAAACATTTCAAGTACAAAATCAATTATCTCTGTTAAGCGTCCTAGGGAAAAAACATGCATCTGGGGTGGCCATGAAAACACTTAACGTTTAAATCTTGGAGGCCTACTTTTACAGACCTCTCTGCAAAGAACTGCCTTAATCCCTAGCTCTGGCAGTTCTTCTGTAATTATGCTGCTGCTCAGATTTTCACACTCATTCATTTGCTGCTGTTTTGCTTTTCTTTTAGCTCCTCTCAGCACAGTCATTCCAGGGAAGGACACATTCTGCCTTACTACTTTGTACAAGCAAGACCCCCTCTGAACCTTTCACTATTGCATCCACTGCCATTATTCCTTTGTCCAGTAAGCAACATGGTTATTTTGAAAGGTATTTAAAACGGAACATTTAAGGGAAACAAGACAAGCTAACATAAAACCTACCCTTTTTAATTATTTTTTTTTTTTTTTTTTGCTTTCTACACATTTATGTGGTCCCATAAAAGAGCCCTTTGTGTCTGGAAGAAAAAAGTCCTACCCATCTTTTCCAGGAACAGATTAGGCAGAAATACACTGTGAACAGTAAACCAATTTGTTTTGTTTACACAGTACCCTCATTCACCTTTACAGTTACAGGAAAGATTTCTCCTGCTGTAACCCAAGCTAATTAAAATCATCCCATATAATAAATATTTACAACGATCAAGATTTAATATGCAACATGTTCTACATACCTCATTGGATTGCTTCCCACTATATGACATTTTCTTGATAGCCACCACTTCATTGGTGCGCACATCACGTGCCTGTAACATGAAAACATGATGCATCAGTTTCTTCAGATCACGTTTTCCCTTAAGATGTAAACCAAAAATACTCATAAAAACCTCTTTACCCATTAGTTAACTTTTGCAGAGGGCTAAACTAAAATATCTTCCAATGGGTGTGACTGCTGCATCTATTAGAAATTTCCTTCTGAAGTTAAAGACCACCCTCCTGTTTGTGAGCCAAGGCATGACATTTTTCCATGCTCAGCATCCAGCAAGTCTCTGCAGGAGTCGAGTACTATCACTTCAAAACTAAAAATTATAGCTCATAAAAGAAGCTCCGAATCAAGTACAACAGATTTCCCCTAAATCAACTTCTCTCCCTGCCCAGGTCCATTCCAGACAAAACAGAAGCAAGGCTCAGCTCCCTTGTTCCACTCCAAACATAAGCAAAGATGTCCCAGGATGCACAGGAGATACCTGCTCCAGACACCGTCCACTTTCTCCCTAGTGCTCCCACAAATTAGCTATGCGTCTTAAAGGAAGGCAGGTGATACAGAGAGATGGCAGCGATCTAAGAGACTCCTCTTCAGATTCCTGATCAGACTTCCACTTTCTCGGTCCAATAATATTATTATTTACGCTGCACAATAAATGTACATGGTCTTTCACACTTCAAAGGCAGACTTCCTGACTTCAGAAAGCAATAATTCAAGATAAGACCAGACAAGAAGTTTTGTTTAATTTAGCACCAAAGCAATGGCTCATTCACCCTGGCAGGAGAAGGGCAACACTGCTTCACCTGGCAGGAAGGAGGGCTCCGCACAAGACCTCCGCCTCTCCTCTGTTAAGGATTTCAGTGGCACAGGAGGGTGGTGGAGGAAAAGACCTCTTAGTCTCTCTGGTAAGAATAACCCACTTGGATACGACGCCAAATGATATAAATCAGAATAATGTGCACCATAGCATTCACTGATGACTGATGAAAATGCTGATTTTTAATATATTTATACTATCAAGCACAGCCTATCAGAACACGGATTAACGAACACTAGAACTCTACCTTTTGTAAAAAGGTTTTTCAATCATGTTTTAATTCTGCTGTTCATTACAGAGATTCCCAGAATTCTCTGTCATTCTTTATTTCAACCAGTTATGATAAGTTTGAACCAACACCATTTTTATTTTTCTTTCTGTTCAAGAGGATCCTCCCCTACTATCTCGCTGGTATTACCTCTAAGGTTGAGGGGGTGACTATTTCCGGGGTTTGAGACAAAAAAGGAAGAAAAAATTCAGACTCCTAGATCTTTACTAATCAGAGACAATCTCTGAAACATTCAAATCAGTGAAGAACTGCAATAAAACAGGCAAGCAAAATACTAGAGTAGAGCAGAAGGAACACAGCTCTAACAAAAGAGAGTGGGTTATTCTTCTGCTCCATCTGCAGTGTTCCAGTGTAGTAGGTTTCCTGTGTCAAGCGAGAGCTATTATTACACTGCAGAGCAGGGAGTAGGGTAAGGATAATACCAAAATGATTCAGAGGTGCCAGACTTGCAGTTTCTAAGAAACCAAAACCATGAGGTGAACCAGCAAAATTCATGTCAATTATGAAAGAAAAACAGAAACTTTCTGCCGCTGCAGGGTGTAACAGAAACAATGAAAGAGACAAGAGTGAACGCTCTCAGCCAGTTATCACACAAGATAAATATATCACCCCTCTCAGGATCGCCTCAGGACCACTACGACAAAAGAAAGGTAGGTACAACTAACAATGAAAGACTAAACTGCATTTTTAAAAAAGGCAGGGGGAGAGTTTGGGCTTTTTCTACCTGTTAATTACTCCCACATCTATTTATCATCAACGTTTTTGGTCTGGGCTCTATGCAATGAAAGCAGCCTGGTGAGGGGGGTGCTATGTACTAGAAAACTCAAGGGAGCAACCCCTGATTGCGCTAACCTAACACCTCCAGCCCTTCACCCCTACAGTGGGGCGGAGAGAGAGCGAGCCATCGCAGCTGACACCCCATCAAGGTTAAAACCATGGAGTTTCATTTGCTTTTTTAGTTCCCTCATGATCTTGAATAATTGAAAAAAGACTGTTCCTAGACAAAAGCCATGAAGATGTTACAAGGCCAGCTAACTTAAACAATCCAAATGAACGAGGCTTATTTTATGGCAGACATTTATGGGCGTATATCCTGCCTTCCTCTGAAAACTCCATATAAAGGATCAACATCTGGTGACCAGAGTAACTTCAGCAGTGATATGAGCAAAGCATGAGCACAGAAAAGGTGGAGTATGTCATCGGCTTTGGTAATACGCATTTAAGCTATTATTAACTATAATCATATTACATTGATTAGAGAAAGTTTAATTGTTTGCATTAGCAGAATCAAAATCATGTTAAAGAAACTTAAGAGAAGTTTCTTCACTAGCTTTGCAGAGGAATAAAGGACCCAAGACATACATTGCCCTACTTTAGTCCTCTAGGCTTATTTAATTCTCAGTAAATTTCTCTCTCCATGCTGTCTTTCTCATCTTTTGGGCTTCTGTTTGAGGTATCAAGTACATTACACAAAACAGTTTCAGATCCATGATCTTAGATCTGCTGGTAGCAAAAAGATACCTAATACCACACAAGACTTATAGGTTAAAACTTCCTAAGGCAAAAATAGCAACAGCGTACCTTCTTTGTTGGAAATTCACTCAACTTGACAAAAATAAAGCCCCCAGATGGGTTGGAGTAGTACGATGCACTGCTTATGCTTGTCTTTTTGCAAGCGTCAAGTTAGATGGACTTTCTGTCAAAGCAGCACAATCCAAACACCAGCAAGTAATTGCACTCCTTAGTGAAAAAATACCAATCTATAAAGAACTGGTAGTCTAAAATGGTGAGGAAAAGAAGAGAAAGAAGGGCCTAGAAATTAACAACCTCTCACTTTTGATCCCTTTGTAGAATGGGCCCGTACCACAACTACAAAGTTCTGTCAGTCTACAAATGCCCCAATGACAGCTTCTTGCTGATGTTGGGGAACACTGTTAGCATCCAGCTTGCAGGTTACCTCCAGCTGTATACTGGTTTTCCACACCCGTGTAGTTCATGCATGCCTCTAAGACACAGTCTTCCTGAAAAACTTCGATGTTTCTTCAATATTTCTTCAATAATATTTCTTCAATAATATTTCCACATAGCAGAAGACAGCTTTGTCAGCTCCCTCCTTTTATATCCACTCTTAAACCAAACTGAGTAAATGAGATGAAGTAAATGCCGCAGGTGAGTACTGTTTCGTTAGAAAACACTTCCTCCCCCAGATCTGTTCCCAGACAGTGGCAGCTCATAGTTTTAAGCAGGGAACAAAATTAAGAAGCTTTTCCTAATTAGTTCATCTGTGCTGCATTAAATTTGTGCTGGAAGGTTCCCAACATGGTCTGCTGCAATTATTAACAATGAATAGGCATCTCATAAAATACTGACACAAATGGCTTTCTGAAGGAAAATTGGCAGGTTTAGCCACACCTCCTATAATTATAAATGTGAAAAGGTTTTCTGAGGAAAATGGTTTTTTAATGAAGGTCTCGCAGTATGCACTTTGGTTAACATACAGCAACCTGCAAACGAGGTTACCATGAGACATCCCATCTCCAGTTGAGCTATACAAGCAGCCTGGGAAAAATTCTGCTGTCCAGACGTTCACGTCAAATAAGTTCTATGCAGATGAATACTGAGATTCTTGCCTGCAGTAGGGAAGGATGTGACAGGACAAATGACAACAGAAGCACCAACATTCAGGTGTCAAACGCAAAGAATGGCTTTAAGGGAGCCTGGGGGTATGCACGAAGGGAGAGAGAACTCAATTTCTCTCAAGGGACAAGAGATGATAAGGAGATGATCAGACCAAGAGAACCGTGTTGCCAGTCAGAATTGATGGAGCACAAGTCCATGTTTTAATCTGCAGACAAATCCCTGCTTGCAATATAACAATGCACCTAAAAGCACTGGGTGAGGGACACGTTTCTAGTTCTTCTTTTTGGTTTCTAGTTCTTCTTTTCGGTTTGTATGCAAACACCTTACAGACACTGCGAGTTTGTGAATGGACTGAGACTGTACAGACACACAAGAAAACACCTCTGCCCCAAACACCATATAAAAAGATTCACAGTAGTTTCTTTTCCTCAATACATTCAAAAAAGTCAGTTTAAAGATAAAAGGAGACACAGCTAAAATTCACAAGTCATGGAGCTACTTACAAAATAAACTGCTCCGAAGCTTCCATGGCCAATCTCTCGGAGATCTGTGAAGAGCTTTTCTGGATCTTCTTTGAAGAAGAGCTCTGCAATTTCTGGGTCCTTCAGGCTGCCCGCTCGGCTGGTTGATGGCATCCTGCTGGGCAGTTAGCCGACCGACTATCTGGGTTTAAAGTGCTGCCTCAACCCTTGGTTCATCTGCATGAATGGAGCCTCTTCAGCATGGATCACTGCAAGAAAAAGATTGCAATCCTTCACTGATCATCCTCTTCTCAAAGAGCCAGACACAAAGCTACAACAGAGCAGTTTCCACTTCTTCCAGAGCAAGTACCCCTGTTGCACGAAGCAACACAACCTATCTGCTGGGATAACGTACAGTCCCACTGTGACACCAGTGAAGCACTTCCAGAGAACACCAACCAAAATCAAGACATAAAAGGAGACATGTTCCTTCCTCCAGCATCTGCTCAGTCACCTGCAAAGCGGTCAACAGAATCTCTCTGACCTATGGCGATAAGGAGTCAGGAGTGAGCCCCTATTACCTTCACGCCCTCTATCTGAAGAGTTACACCCACTATGTCTTAAAAGTATTGTTTGGACTTTGTGAAGTGGATGACACAATCATCCATCCATCTATCTACCTATCTATCTATCTATCTCATGGTGTTTGCAAGACAAGATCTATGCTACAAGTATGACATGTATGAACCACCACCACCATTTACTAATCTGTATTTGCATTTTGTGTTGGTTTTTTTTTTCCATTCAGCTCAGTATTTGTTTCTTCTGCAATTGTACTCCAGCTAACAAGCAGCCCGTGATCAATTTTTACTCATTTCAGCACGCACGTGGAGACCTCTCTGAAGCTTATCCTTCCACAACTAAGTCAGTCATGCTCATTTTTGGTTTGCTCTCTCATCTAAATTCCTGATCTCTATCTTAAAGTGCCTGCTCTTTCAGAGCCTTACTCGCAACCCTCTTCTTTAGAGGAACAGCATCCAGAACAGCAGATACCCAGTTGCACATGACACGTCTTTCCACTCTGCTTCAGCAGATGCAAACATACATTATAATTCTGATAGCACATGATCTAGCCTTCTACAACAGTCCACTGGCAAACACTTTCTTCAGAGGAACTTGCAACTTGCCATTGGGAACGTATGAAATCCTTTCTGTTTGTAGAAAGTTTTCATTTACTTAAAGTGTGCCCTGGAATCTACTCAAAATAAAAGGATACCTTCAAGTTGTGCTAAAACCTTACTGTATCTCTACAGCAGGCGAAGCCAAACAACCACTGCAAGTAAAGCGCACTTCTTTTTTCCCTGATAATGGGCAGGCCTGGGTATGGGATTTCCTCTCACTTCCCTGTAAATCGTCACCAATAAAACCAATTCTGTGTCAAATAGCTGGCAAACAGCTAATCACACAGCTCGCTTCTTTCCAATAATCCCTGTCTGGTCAAGACTTGTGCTTTTTAAATTCATATTTCATTATCTCTTAAAAAAAAAAAAAAAGTTTTACATCATCATAATGAAAAATAAAAAAAGACCATAAACCCGAGTTTAACCAACGTATCAGAAGGGCCTATGCCTGTCCATTTGTCCTCCTTTCCTGGACACCATAAACTCCACCTTTCTCCAAGCCTCCAGACCATCAATGAATCATTTGTTTTCCCCTCCCAGCAGAGTAATTCCTACAAAGATGGAAAAAGACATACTCCTGCATGTTTATGCTCAGTGGTACTCTTCTCTAGACAGTTGCAGCATGTGAAAGTGCCAAAGACTGCCTGCTCCTTGTTAGTTCAAATAACTGCCAGCATCGCTACAAGGCGAGCACGATTGTGCGAGAGACAGCCAAGACATACCTAGCTGTAAAGTCTGCAAGAGTCTCCAGTTTTTCTGATGAAGACATGCGTGGGAGAGAGAATGCAGGGAAGGGAAGCAAAATCCAGCATTTTCATAGCTTTCCTCCAAGCAGTCAGCATTCAGAAAGATTTATAATGCAACCCAAACTGTGTTTCCACGATAGCCCGCTCTCAGGGGCTACGGAAAAACCGACATTCAAATCCCAGTGGTGGACCAAGTACAAAAATACGTATATATACACACAGAGAGAAAATATGCAGCTGTTCACAACTCTGCTACACTGCACTCATGAGCATGCACGCACACATTCTGTATCGATGCAGGATCATTACAGAAGCCTTCGGCGCAGACGGCATCAGCACACGACATACCCGACTGCCAAGGAAGGCGAGCGAGATGCGCAGGAACGGGACTGCGATATCTCCACCTTCCGTTGCATAACGCAGTAACTAATACCGCGTGGGAAGGGAAATAATTAGTTTCAATTCAGCCCGTACCTGAAGCATGCTACATTTATGAAGACTAGAAGAAAAGTGGGTTTTTTTGTTATTTTTCTTTCTTTCTTTCAAATAAGCCAACAATATTCCACTTGATTCCAGCTCTAACAAGCACGTAACACTGAAAGACAACTGTTTCACATTTTCAGCCCCCAAAGAAACAATAGACAAAAAGCATCAGTCAGAAAAGCGAGAGAAAAGAGCTGGGGGAAGGGAGCTGATAACCAGAGCACACTCAGTATTATTGAAGGAATGCTTCTTGGATCGACGGTGATGATGTCATGTTCCATCTTTTAAGAAGCATCAGATTCTTACAAAAAGGACATTGTTGTTCAAAAGCAACTGCTGCAATCCCAGAATGCCCTTTTCCCTACATCTGTTAGTCAGAGGGGCTAGGCTTGGATAAACCTGCTAATATGGCCAAAAGTCACATGTCCCTGCGAGCAAGCGTGTGTGTGCGAGCCAGAGCGAGGAGAAAAACCCTGCGCGCACAGCTGAGATGGATTATGGCCTTCTCCCCCTCCCCACCTACCCCCGATGCCAAACCAGCCACCAGACTGGTTCTTGGCATCATTTCTGAGCATGCCTCTGAAATGTCAACAGGCAACACTTTTTACCGCTGCTAGAACTCTTACCAGCCTCGCTGAGGATACACGCAGCAGTGGTACGGGACTGGCTACTACGCTGCCGGGCTTCAAATGGCAAATCAGAGCAGAACTCCTCGTCTATTATGATACATCTTAAAATACAGCTTTTCCCCTTTAATCCTGAGAATGTCGAGACAAATTTAATTATCTTTATTCTTGGAAATAATTGCTGCTTTGAAATGCATGAGAATAGAAACATTAAGTATTAAAACCTACTTAACAGAATAGTCACAAACGTGTGCATGACACTGTGCTTATCATTTGATCTGCTTAGAAGGAACAATAAAATGCATTCATGTAAATTCCATCCATAAGAAAGCTTTACACAGTCTTGCTTAATAAAGTGCTCCCATTTTTTATGGATGCTCCAATATTAAATTCCCTCAGTCTTCTTTTTACCCAGACAACATGCTCTGCCTGCCAAAGCCCGACAGTGCCAGCAGCAGAGATGCTCTGCCTCCTGCCTTGCAATAATGACACCTGAACACTTTGGGGAAATGGAAGCAAAGTTAGGAGAAATTGCATTCAACGTGGTTACTGCATTATTTTAAATGTATTAAAACTACAGACAAGTCTTAAGATTAAAAAAACCCAAAACCAACTGCAACTGAACTGAAAATTAATCACATACGAGCAGGCAGCTGCACTTCAGTATTTTACATTCTTCCATGAATGCAGTCTCTTTACTACAGGTTTTTTGAATTGGTGCAGCTATACTGTGAAACACAATTGCTCCCAGTGAATGGGACTGATCATCTCACCTCAGACAGCTCAGATCAGGTGGCCGGATCCTGGTCGCAGCCAGGAGACAGGCACTGCCAACAGGATACAGCACCCTCTGACTGTGCCCATCTCTCTGCTGGCTGAAGAGGCAGTCTACCTACAAGCCACCTTGCAGGCTGCTAAAATTAGATAAAATAAATCCCACATTTTTTCCTAGTTGTCAGTCATACAAAAAGAGAATCTTGCATTGCATAAACACAAGTACTGGCACCTAGATCAATTCCACTCATAACCAAGCTGATGTAGGAATATGAGAAAGGTTCCAAATAAACCAGGGAATGCCCAAAGCACAAGACTGGACCGAGTCTATTTCCATACAGTAGGCTGAACTAACTGCATTTAGTTAGTGGCTACCATTACGAGTGTAAATGACACTGACTACAGGCCAAAATGTTTTATCAAATTACTTTCATCTGAACAACTACCAGTTAGTAGAAACTGCATGCACGCATCCACAAAAATCTATGAATCAATAAGATGTTACAGTCCCTGTAATTATGGCTATATTAAATGTGTACACACACACCTTGAATCACTGACATAAGGAAGCTGAAGATGAGGATGGGGTAAGACCTGTTCTCTTCTGAGTTTTCTGCCTCCCCGCCTGCCATGTCATCTCAAGCTGAAGTAAGACCCAACCCTGTGACTAACATCCCCTGGGATCCTGCAGAGCAGAATAAGCAAAGCTCTAAATGGTCAGTTGGCATATTTAAAGTGCACATTTAAGCCTTATGCTATAGAGACCTTAGAGAAATTAAAATCTGTCCACACTACACTAAAGTATCTGACGGCTGTCAGTGTCATAGATAACTGTTTTCATGTAATAAACCAAGGTACTAGGAAGAGAAAGTACTTAGCCTTCCCTGCAAAGGAGAAGGGAACCTACTCACTAAGATTTCCACCTATCTGCCAAATTATTTCCTAAGTTCACATCCAGACCAACTCAGTGAGAGTGACAGTGACTGGAAGGTATTCGTTACAATAACTGTGAGATGCATCAAAGCATTTGTAGTTCCTTAAGATGGTTCAAAAGTTTGCAGAAACCAAATCACAATACAGGCTTGCTCGTAGATTATTAGCATTAAAAAGCAGCACACTTTGTCCCTACAGATGAAGTTTCAAGGAATCAACATATTCAACATCCTTCAGCTTCTATACACAAGAACATTAGAACCGGAGCTAAACAAACGCCATGGGAGCACAAGAACAGATTTATGCATCCATCATCCTGTGACTCTCTCCACTTCACTGGGTTCCAAGAGGCTGCATGGACTCCTACAATGGCTGATGAGGCCAAGAGGAATGCTGTCCTCCATCAATGAATTATAAACAAAACATTATTTGCAATTTGAGACATAAATCTTGCTTCACGTTACAGTCATCTGCTACACGATACACTTAGCACAATAAAATCTATAAAAAACTTATCTTTAGTATCA